ACCTCTCTTGACTGACCACCTCTCTTGACTGACCACCTCTCTTGACTGACCACCTCTCTTGACTGACCACCTCTCTTGACTGACCACCTCTCTTGTCTGACCACCACTTGGTCGATCGCCTAAAAAAGATTTTCCGTGTGATCGATGTTACATTTTTGCGCACATTCTTACCATTCACACACAGTTTTTTTTTCTATTATCATGCGCAAGAAGAACAGCGAACTTTCGCTCTGGAAAATGACCTGATGTGCGCTTTTTTGAAAATGAAAGAGAGCAGAAAAAAATCTTACTTAAACATCTCATTTATGCATGGTGTCTTGGCGAGGAACAATAGGTGGTGACCGATTATCGTGTACCTATCACCGTGACGGGCCAGCCGTGCAAAACAACGACAAGTAATGAACAAACAACTCGAATTCGATTTAAAAAAAGTCTAAATATAATGATCGTAACTGGAATTAGCCGATCGTGTCTTTCTTCGCCTCGAAATACAATATTTACTTGAAACAGATTATGTTTTATATCAATGACAGCGATACAACAGAAAGATAATATAGAGCAATAGGAACAAAACACGCATTAATAAAATAATTATACTATTAGGGATGTCCATTGTTGTTTAAATACGGAAATTATCAGATATAATAGATCTCTAATATAATCTTAATCATTATTTGACAATAGCTAATCTTTAACAAATCTGCTAAAATGGTTTCAGCTTTCTCAAAATTGAAGATCGCTAAATTAATGATCAAGACTTTCCTTGATTTTGTTTCCTCGAGTTCAGTGATGCCGCATGAACGTAACTTAAACAAAACCTCTAATAGAGTAGATTCCAACCCCCTTTTTATAATTCCTTCAGACTCAACTTACATTCAAAGCCGCTGATTCGATGAGGAGATCTGTATGTCGATCAAGCCACGAACTAGTACATCAACAAACAGAAGCTGGGTATCAAAAGATCGAGTCTTGAAAGGAATGAAAAGCATTTTAATTGACAGCCAAATTTGGTAACGATGGGACAAGTTAGGACGCGCTTGTGTGTGGTATGTCGGTATAGAAAAAGGGTTGGACTGCATGCTTAGGGTAAAAAAAAAAAATAATTGGGCTGCATTTTGGGGGTTTCAGATCATAGAGACAGACTAAGCTCTAAATGTACTGCGCAGGCCTGAAATATCACCACTTTTTGGTATCTCTAGAGTTAATAACTATTTTGAAATTGCGTGAGTGCGCAACTGATGGAACATTCAGCAGTTACTTTCACTACATGTGACCTTCCGGTGCGTCCATCACGTGGTCATGTTTATTATTAAACTCATGGTAGAGAATATTCGTTCATGCATATGGCTAGCTTCGGTTGAACAACTCACGGTGTTGTACGGCTGTGAGGTTTGTCTTAATATCCCACGGTCTGTTATTGAGTACATTTACGAAACTGAGGAAGTTTGATATTTCCATGAATATCCTGAATGGGGTGCAGTACCCTCAGGTGTACATTTCAGGTATATTCTTGACCTAACTGCCTAGTATCCAATCCACCTCGTGCACATTGTTTTTCTGTTAGATCCATCCAATTCATCTCGTGTACATTCTTATTCTGATACGTCCATCCAATCCATCTCGTGTACATTCTTATTCTGATACGTCCATCCAATCCATCTCGTGTACATTCTTATTCTGATAGATCCATCCAATCCATCTCGTGTACATTCTTATTCTGATA